TGTTTTCTTCTTTATTTTTATTTTTATTTTCTTTTTATTATTGTATTTTATTTTATTTTATTATTATTATTTTTTTTTTTTTTTAAAGCGATGTAAACTGTGAGAATTAAAAAACGATAGAAATTATGTAAAAAAATATAAAAGTAAAAAAAGGATAAAATATATGAATCGAACAAAAGTGAATTTCATTTTTCGAACTTTTGTTCGCATTTGGAATGTGTATCGTCATACTTGATGACGTAAATAGTATGATGCGTTTATTGCAATTAAGATTCATTCGAAACTTCGGTGAAATTCTATGACGAAACTAACTGATATATCGCTTTCTCTCTCTCTCTCTCTCTCTCTCTCTCTCTCTCTTTCTTTCTTTCTTTCTTTCTTTCTCTTTCACACACATTCTCTCACTTTTTTCATAATTATGTCAAGGATTGAAAAAATGTGCCACGACGTTGGTGAATGAATTCTGTACATTTATATCTGTCTGTGTGTGTGTGTGTATGTGAGCGAATGTGTATGTGTATGTATAATATGTATATTATATAACGAGACCGTTATTTTTTTTTTTTTTTCTATCTGTCGTCTTAACGTTATTATAAATGCTTTAAAAATCCTACTTGATCATATATCAGATTAAAAAATATATATAGATAATGAACCGCTTCACGTTGCGTCAATTGAGCTTTTCTCTCTCATATCATTTTATTACAATAATATTGTAAAAATCGTCGATGTAAAAACTTGAATATAAAAGCAAACTTTTTTTATAAAAACACGATTCTATTACATAACTCATAATGATTATGTAAAAGAAAAAAAAAAGAAACATTTCTTTTTTATAGAAAAAAAAAAAAAAAGAAGAAAAAAAACCATTTAGTATTATATAGCACGAATTTAAATGTAATTTACATTATTCAATATGCTGTTTCTTGCTGTGCGTGAATATTAGATTTAAAATTAATGACATAGGGGTGGATGTGTATCTCGCCTTCATGTGCGTATTAGAAGAATCCTAAATTGAAATTCTAAGCACGATTTGTGCGGCTCAATTGATCCAACGACAATTGACGATCATTGTTTGTTGTAATAGGTAACAAAGGGAGTATACGATCTCATCACTTAAGATATACCTAAGCTAGGATAACGTACTTACACACAAATGATCGATATACATGGTATAACTACACTGCGTTCTCTGCAAATATGTAATAAAAATTTGTATGTGTGCATATGTATGTGTTGGTATGTGTTTGCGTGTGTGTGTATATAGTATGTGAATGTCGATAATGCTTCGATCGAGTTATCTAATCAAATCTTTCGTTTCTCTCCCCCTCTCCCTTTTATGACCACCGGCTCTTCCTCTCCCTTACACACTTCAAATATCTCTCCTTTTCCCTGTCTTCACATCCTTTCGTTATGCGGATTTATTTGTTCGTCTTTTACCTTCTACTCAGTTCTGTTCTTACCGCTGTAAAAATCAAAAATAAAAGAAAAATAAAATAAAATATTAATATTTGAATCGTTGCGTCAAAACAATTAAAAGATCCAATTGAACAATCATAATCTTACCATCGATTATTTCTTGCTTCATCTTTTGAAACTCCTTACGCATTTCTTTAATTATCTCAGCTTTGAACGCCTCCATCTCTTGTGCCGTCAACGAGGAACCATCGTTAACGCCATTGACTTTGAGAAGCGTGTCTTCGGAAGCGGAACCAAACCTTTTTCTAACCGACTTTGGTGATTCTGCTCCATTGGAAAATTTGTTGTTCGACGAACTACTTTTATCCCATGATTTCTTGTCCGGTGAACTTTCAGGTTCCTAAAATAACCGAGAACACGCGGAAATTTAATATATGCATGTTTTATTAACAATCTTGTTCAAACGTTTCTTGCCATCGGTAACGCTTAATTGATAATTTTAATTAAGATTACAATTTAAATACAATTTAATTTAATAATAATTACAAGTATAAAATATAGAACGATAAGGGGGCCAATCGTCAGTTGAACATCTTGAATTTATGAACTCATTAATGCATGCAATAACTTGTAATGCAAATGGGTTAAAAAATGAAAGTGATACTCGTTTAAACGAACCGGTGGTTGTTCAGGTTGCTTCTTCTCAACGGCAGCGCGTCTACGTGCCAGCGTTTTCGCCATCTCGTCCATCATAGAAGCCATACCGCCACCTCCACCTCTTCCCAATGTTCCATAATTGCCACCGCCACCTCCGCTTCCGCTACTGCTGGTACTCGAGCCGCTATTTTCAACAGGCTGTGTCTGTTGCTGATGATAAGAATAAAACGTTGTTGTTCGATATCATTTGATACAAGATGGATAGTTTAGATTTCTAATCGTTATACGACATACCAACCTGTTTTTTCTTAAGCCTAGCAGCCTGTAGGGCCGCAGCAAGAGAATTAGCATCCGGTTGCGGTGGATCGTTGTTAGTTACGGACGAGGAAGTTATGGAGGAGGATACGACGGTGGAAGAAGATGCGGAAATATTGGATGAATTATTAGACGAATTAGGCGCGGGTGGGGGAGGGGGTGGAGGGGGAGCAGCGGGACCAGCCGCCAATGGGACCATAGGAGGCGGTGGTGGAGCGTAAGCGGTAGCAGCAACCGCGTGATGTCCTCCAGTAGCATACTGATTCACCGAATTCGCGGGGGTACCATAAGGATTCACGCTGGCGACAGCTGCCTGCACTTGTCCGGTAACGTAAGACGGTGGTTGCGGTTGTGAGACGACACCGTACTGCGACTGGCCTTGTTGCTGCTGAGCTACCACCACGGCAGCGGCAGCAGCAGCATATTGGCTAGCCGCCGAAGGTGGACCACTTGCGTACTGAACGATCGAACTGTTGCTTCCGTACTGATTGCTAGGCCCGCTACCGCCACCGGCGGCACCGTATTGCGTGGCCTGACCGCCGACCACAGCATACTGATTGGTCTGACTGGTCTGACCAGCTTGACCACCGCTACCGTACACGTTGCTACCTTGTCCGTTGTTACCGTAAAAGCTGTTCTGACCGGTAGACGCGTACTGATTCGGATTCTGACCTACGACCACAACAGACCCGGTAACATTAGGGTTCGAATACTGATTGTTACCGGGTGCTCCTCCGCCGTACTGATTACCCTGACTCTGTGCCGCATAGATCGATTGCGACTGAGATTGTGTTTGAGAAGATGGCGACTGTGCGTATTGGTTTATCATCATCGGGGGTGGCGGTACGGGCGCATTGAAATTTATCATAGAAGGCGGACACGGAGGAGCGGGTGGTGCCGCGGGAGGTTGCGGTGGTGGTACTGGTGGTCCACCTCCACCAGCGGATAAAGGAACCGCCGAAGAAACTATCGGTCCTTGCATTCCAGGAATTGTAGCCTGTTGTTGCGGTTGCGTCTGTTGGCCGGCTTGTTGTTGCTGTTGAGGTTGCGGTGCTGGTGGAGCGGACGACGTTCTGTGATGACCCGATTGTTGCTGTTGTTGTTGCTGTTGTTGCGTCGTTGGCGGACAACTCGGTGAAATGGCGCTCGGACTGTTCGTTGCTGTACAAAAGTTTACAATTTATTTCTTTTACAAATATACAATCTTAATATCCTTGCAGCTCATACAGAATTCATTTTTATAAAGATTATAACTATAAAAGAATGTTTAAAAATAGATTTCAATAATTCTTAAATATAACGTTATACCTTGACTCTGTTGGGACATTCTGCGTTCCTGAATGATCGCCACGTCTTCTCTGGTCATAGTCCTAAATTCAGAACAAAATCGATTATTAATACGATCATAGTCATTGTTGCATAAAAAGAATGATGCACGTATGGTTAGTGCAAAGCGTGTTCGATCAGCCAACTAGGACTAACAAATAGAAAAATATTATATCTCGAGCGTTTAGCTATCTAGAGAACAATGGTATCTAAGTTTCGTAATAACCACCCTAGCGATGGCTTTATAATGCACGTATAAAAGTTTATCGAAAAACAAATATGATATATCTCTATTTACACATATACACTCTTTCAACGCGTACACACAGGGATAATGAATAAACAAAATGATAATATTCAGAGTCATCGTGTAATCTCTAGAAACGATAGTTATTCTAGATTAAGCTTATGACTACCGCTAAGGTGGCTAAACATTAAATATCACGTGATTACAAACCCATAGGAGGAAGAAAACGTATTTTTGGAAAATGTCAACACTAAAACGTCTAAAACTTATCGAGATACTCGTATTATTTACATAGATTATCTATCTCGCTATTGCTAATATTTTATGCGTTTCATCTAACAAAAAAATCAGAGAACTCTTTGGGAAATGAGAATATGTGTGTATATGTGTCGCGTGTGTATGTTGGAGGGTGGTATGGGCGAGGAGAGAAAAAGCTATAGTGGATGAAGGTATAGAAAGAGAAGGTGGAGAGAACGAGTAAACACAGATGAGTACCCGAGTACCGTTTTCTAATCTTGTCCCATAGTCGTTAGGTTTTAGTCATCGTCATCGTCATCGTCGTGTCGACTGCATCTGCGTAAACTCACCACACAACAGTTCAACAACAACAACAACAACAACACACATACACATATGAGATATCCCAACACGGTTTATTCGATGAATTTATGAAACATTTTCATTCACCCGTCGAACGAACCAGTTTTTTTCCCCTGTTTCTCGTGTTTCACTCACTCGTTGTTTTTTTTTTTTTTTTTCAATTAAGTTAAAAGTGGTAAAATAATATTAAAAAAAAAAAAAAAAAAAAAAAAGAAATAAAATTATAGAATCAACGTGCGAACGCGTAAAGGACGTCTCTTATTCTACAGTTTGAGTTTTTAATACGATGAATATATTTTGTGTCGTATTTTTTTCTCCTCCTCTTTTTATTTTTTTGTTTTTTTTTTGTACGCAAAAGAGAAAGAGAGCATTCGTTCAACCGAGAAAAACATTTCTCGGAATGGATGGTTTCAATATAGAGATATACTGGCGAGCTGGTGAATGGCGAGACAAGTAGAAAAACGAATTGCCGCAGCCAGCTTCTCGAATGGTTTCGTTCGCATTAACGAACGATGACTATTTTCAATGGAACTCTTCGTGCGAACACATTCACAATATCACTGACAACGCGCGTTGTTGGCTTGATATATTTACACGAAAATGCAATATCTCCAATTGGAACTAATAATTTCTCTCTTTCTCTATTTTGATCGCTAAGAGTTTTCTTGTTTTTTTTATTTTTTTTTTTTTTATTTTTATTTTTACAACCACACGTACAGGACGAAACTTAACGCGAAAAATGAAAACGAGCATAGAAGATACTCAACGAGTTTAGCGATTCAAAGTTATTTTCGTCGTTGACGGTCGACAACCACACATCGCGAGCATAACCCCGAAACTTTATTTTCAACGTCTTCTGGAAAAAGATTCTCCTTTCTCTCTCATTTTCACATTCGTACATTCATACGAGTAAAATAGTTTACGTTAACCAAAGTATATATATATATTGTGGAAATGGAAGATGATAAATAATTAAAATGAAAAGCATTGAAATATTAAAAATAATGTATCTAATAATCAATTAGAATAATGCAAAAGCTATCATTGCATCGTGTGTATTATAATGTGATTTTGTGATCTAATGGGATGAAATGAAATATTATCGTTAAATAGTGGACAATGATATTTTCAACTAATTTTATGTAAGTGTATGATATAAAAATATCTAGAAATGATATCGTTAGAAATATTGTGTCAAATTATTTCGAAAGATTAACGTAACACGTTTAAAAAGTTTATATCTCCTTCACATCCAATGTTAACACATTGATAAATGTGTTGTATAATATATTAACAATTAATATAATTAATAAAATAATTCGTGTGATAAATGTTCAAATACTTTAGCGAATCATTGTATATTTAAACCCTTCGTTATTGATGACCCATATACGAATTGTTCACATTGAATCCGATATATTTAAATATCATATTACTATGCACGTGAGTTACAAATTTATTTAACAAAGGGTTAAAAAAAAAAAAAGAAATTTGTCGAATAAAATTGACACAAAATTTCTAAACGATCAAAGACAGTTATCAAAGATACCCCGAAAGTTGTAAGTGACGAATTGTTAGATGAATGATGGTATTATTATGATGATTATTATTATTATTGTTATTATTATATCGTCTCTTAAAAGGAAGGCCCAAAATCACCTCGTGAGTCCCTCAGCCGGTGAGCCACGCGAACAGCCCACCTGAATGACGGTGGTGACGGCACTACTAACGGATGGATGATGACTGGGGGTTGGTGTCGGGGGCCCCACGGTGATACCCGTTTGGCCCCCGGCAGGAAGATGGCCCAAAGACAAGGAGACTCGCGCGTTATGACCTTGACTGGAACCACGCAACTATGACGACAAAGGCTCTCTAACCCAAATCGGGTTGCTGATTGAACGTCTACGCGTTTATTACAAGTTGTTTTACGCGATTCTCTTCAAATTATTCAATGTTTTGATAAAAATAAGAAGAAGAAGATCAAACACGCATACGTTCTTACAGCAAAGCCTCAAATCTTCTCTTTGTAACCGTAATTAATAGTAGTAGTTGTAATCATCCAGCTGGATGAACGAGCTCATAATCGGTTCGTTTTTACAGTACGAATAAATCATCAGATTGTTTCTCTTGCTTGAATTAAAATGATCTTATGAATTTTAATAAAGTTCGTTCGAGCAAAACACAATGTTGTTGACACATCGACATTCATGACAAATATGAATATTTCATAGATCCGTTCGATGATTTTAATTTATGAAACGCTCGAAGCTATTCTTTTTATCCTGATAATCCGTAAAATGATGGAAAAAAAGAAAAAAAAAAGAATCATCTAAAGGAAAAGATCACCGACCTGTATCCCATGTCCTCTTCGTATTGAGCATTCGCCAATTGTTGTTGTTGCGGCTGCTGTTGTTGCTGCTGCTGTTGTTGCTGCGGTTGTTGCTGTTGTTGCTGTTGCTGTTGCTGCTGCTGTTGTTGAAGTTGCTGTTGCTGTTGCTGCTGATAAACAGGTTGCTGCTGAGTCGTCGGTGCGACTGCCGGACCCAGACTTCTTGATATGTTGCTTCCGTTGCTTAGCACCTACGCAACAACGGACCCGAACAATTGAATCGAATTGAATTGAATTATACTTTGTTAAATGTCCTGGGACTGTGGCAACGAGGAGGGTGTAAGCGTAAATGTAGGAAAAAAAAAAAAAGAAGAAATCGTTTACTCTCGCACCTACATTCATTTTGAAGAGCTTTTCAAAATAGAACGTCATTGTTAAATAAAACAGAAAAAAAACATTAAACGTTCGTTAATTTAACTAACGACTTATTAAAGTTACGATGTAACGATGTTGTCCACAATAATTACGATATAATACGTACAAGAAAATAAAAAAAGTATTTAACAATGTTATTTGGAAATGTTTCAACCTTGTCTTGTCCATGTTTCGAGATATTATTGTTAAAACGTAAGAAAAAGGTTTTCAGATAATTAACGAAGTTATACACACGGTTAAAAGAATCATCGTAATGGTCTGTGTGTGTGTGTGTGTGTTTTTGAGAAATACGATCGATCACTAACTAAAGTCATTATGACTCTAATTGCAATTGCTACGAAATTAATTATTCCATCCCATACCCCACCTCGTTATTTCTAGCACGGTACTACTACATTAACGATCGTATAACAAAGCGGTGCCTTTTAGCCATTTGCCGAAAAAGTAATGCAAGACCGTGTGTTTGGAGGAGGAAGAGGAGGAAAAGAAGGATGGTGACCGAAATTAATTTAACAGACCACCCCCTTTTCGTCTGAATAATCACACGATAACGGTCAGCTAATAGTCGTCGTCCTGTCCCAGTACACACATAGAATAACCATATATATATAATAACAAGAGTAATCGTGAAATAGGAAGGGGTCTGAGATTAACACTAGATTTTTTATTGCGTGTATACCTTTTTTTTTTTTACTGAAATACGTCTTTTTTCCACGGGTATGTTAAAATACAAAAAATTGTTTATTTTAAATTATATATTAATCCTTAGAGTGCTATCGACGTATATACGTGTTTGTTAATATTAATGTAAGATATAATGTTAAGTTTATATTAATTCATTAAATTATATTCACAGAAACAAAAACTGTAATTATTAAATATAATTTTGATTATAAGGTCATTTTGATGGGTTTCGTAAATCTAGTGTTAAATCATCGTAAAAAAAAATTCTCATAGATTTTCTCGAATTTGTAAATCACCTATAAAGAATGTATTTTTTTTCGTACAATAATGAACAACGAATTGACGTAATTATAATACTAAAGATTTTCAAATTTAACTTTGAAATAAAATGTAATTGTTAGAAAAAAAATATAACTTACGTCAAGGGCTTGAAGCATAGCACTGGCAAAAGCATCAGCATCGTCCTTACTAGAAAAATTCAGTCCGTAAACTTGCTTGTTGTCTCTCCATTGATGAAACGTGACCGTTGCTTGATTATATTTCAGTCCTTTAAGGATGGCGCAATTAATAACAATCTCATGATCCTGTAACTTTCTTCCAACGACGCGGAAGGTGTTGTTCACCTGATGATGATATAGCTGGACCTTGGAAAGTCCTGCCGAGGTACCACTCGGTATCCATTTTTTGTTCACGTCGTCGTAGACCATAACCGCCGCCCGAGCGGATGATATGCTCACTTCACTAAAAAAAACAAAAAGAACAAAATAAAAATAAAATAAGAATGATTGTTTCTTTAATTATTAACAGTCCCCAGGGGGGATGTAAAAATTGAAAGATAAAAAAAAAAAAGAAATATTAATATAGGAAATAGATTAGTTAATAAGATAAATCTTCATAAATCTTTTGAAATTGATAAATAAGTTAGATACTTTTAATTAAATAGATAGACAACTACAACTTATCTTTGCTCATCGTTAACGATTTAAAGAAGAAGCGTGAAAGAAAAAAAAAAATTATAATAATTTTCATTCCATACTATAATTTGATAATTCTTTTCTAATTAATTAATAACCTTTCTCTAATAACATTTATAATCGAGGTATATACACCGTCATGTTCACACAGATTTCTAATCGGCAAATGAGATCGCACGCGAGACGGTATGTTCAACAGTGTGATGACGTACAGGATGAGATAAAAGTTCTTTTTACCAACTTCAAAATCAATTATTACCAATTTTTTGAGCTTTTATCGTGTTTCCACACACACATACACATGTTGCAATAACTAGACTAAAACTCTTACATTCTTCTTGAAAACTTGCTATTTCATCTTTCGAACGATTGTACGATAACAAAAAAAAAAATAAATAAATAAAAATAAAAATATTTAACCATGATGTTGTTACAAGCAATAATCGTATAAAAAATTTAACTATCAGCAACTTGTACATTCGTAACCAGTAAATAACATTACATGAACAAATGACTTACAGCGACTTTTATCTCACCCTATACATACACACACACACAAATACCAACACATGTTGTGTTGATTACTTCAGGTATGTTGTACGCAAGTTCTCTACACGGTATGTGCAACTTTATTTTTCTCTAGAACATTACGCGTGAAAGTAGCGTGACTCGATCAGGTAGTTTGAAAAACGACGCTTAAGGTCGACGTAAAAGTGAGAATGCAAAGCTCCCATTGACGTGTTATACACACAAGTACAGTATCTATAATACATATATAATTCAGTAGTCCCAAGTCATTCAATTGATTTGCGTAATCAAATGTTAAGAAAACATATTGTCCAGTTGGAAATATCGATTCGTGTATCAAAATCCTTACATAGGATTAAGCATGGTGTTTTATTATATCCATAAACACGTTCGTTGAAAATGTTCCTCACGTATTCTAACGTAAACGTTTGAGTGAACACAAATATAGGAAGAGAGGATCGTTTTGAATGACAATAAAGTTATCAAAAAATCCGGCTTATGAAAATAAAAAAAAGGATTGGTAAGTTCAAAAATGTTTTCTCGATACGATCGTAAAAAAAAAAAAAAAAAAA